TCTAATTTTAATTATTTTCGGTTGCACGAAATGGCTTTGGAAAAAACTGTCACATTGTGTTAACTTGTCGGTTCATAATTTATCATTCCATTTTGAGTTAATTTATTAGTTAATATTTATTTGTGGTATTCTATAAAATAATAAAAATTAAGTTTTTTCAGAAATGTTGCTATATCTTAAAAACTAACAGTTTTAGATATAGAACATGCTTAATAAAAGTTGAAGTGCACTGACATGTGAATAAAATAGAATAATAAAATACAATGTGTTCCATTTGAAAAATTTTAGAAAATCAAGTTTATACTTTCTAAAAATTATCGTATTCTAAAAAATGTCCTGTATAAAATATCGATATTTTTGCTCCAAGTGTTAGTAGTTGAAAGTTCTTCGAGGTCATGTTTTTTCCAAAATTCGAAGAATTTTCTACATAACTTGGCAACCCCGCACTAAAAAGTTAAACTGTTTATATTGCCATACATAGAATTTTCTCAGAAATCCATATGTTTAAAAATATACCGGGTGTTTCATTTAAATAATGTAATATTTGGCGTGTCCCATTTTTATTCATCACTCTGTATGTATTAAATTAATTTTGTAGTTTAGGTATAAGTTTTATATAAACTCTTTTCTGTCTTACGAGTAACAAGGGAATTATTTCACTTTCTCACACTAACATTTTTCAAAGATTTTAAGTACGACTCATTCTAAGCAGGAACGCCACTGGTGCTTGCAGTTCGCGTGAATCCCAGACAATAATAGGGAAGGTGGCTGTTCTCACGCCGCAGTTCCAAGTTTCTCGGCCTACTACGATAACTGCTATCATCCGAATCGTTCTCTGCAATAACATCGCACCGCACCGACATTAAATGATTTAATTTTGAGGCAGAGGAATGGGCCTAGTATTGACGTTTTGTGGATATGGATCGATCTGTGCGGCGATCAGAGTTTAATTTATGTATCTGTCTCCTTTCAAGTTTAGCTTATTGACATATTTTAACTATTGCATGAATTGTTACAAATAATCGGTACAACAATATTCATATTTTCATTGTGTCGATTTGTTATTTTCCTGAAATATCTCCCAAATAAATGAAGGTATTTGGTACATTTTGAGACATTACAAAATATATTCCTTCGAATTTGTTGTTGTTTTACCAAGTGAACGAATTAAGTAGGAAAATGGAAGTCCTTCGTGGACAGTCGAGTCTCTGACAACAAGACCTTTCGCATCCAGAGACCTTTGACTCGCAGGCCACGTGCTCGCGTACATTTCACTTTTATTTTATTCACTGTTCACCATTTTAACATATTTCTCGACGTTCCTCTTGTATTAATTGCCGCTCAGAAATGTCAAGGTTGGCGGAGAAGCTCTATATAAATTATATTACAGTTTACTGTCCAGCGCATTAATTAAAGATGAGCAGAACCTTGAATATGCAAACGAGTTTTAGATATTATAAATTCCAGATTTCAACATGAAGACGAGCATGATTTGTTGCAAAATTGTGTTATAACAGAGGCGGGTCGGTTACAAATCGCCTATAAGCAGTCGTAATAACAGTAATGCGATTGCACAGATGCGTCAGTTCTTTGGCAACGACTTTACAGTCGGTGAAAATTGTATTTTTTTTTGTTAAATACACTACATTTGATTTTTTTAAATAATTCTAAAATGGAAGTTGAAATGTAAATCATAAGAACTGTAAAGTAAATATTCTTTTTAAATTATACTTTAATAAGTTCAGACAATTACTACAATACTTATAAATTACTATATAGGGTGTTCGAAAAAGACTGGGTCATAATTTAAGGGCAACCTCCTTGAACGAAAATTCATAGAAGTCAAGAAGAGTACCTGCCATAGTCCTTTGTTTGTTTACATTATTTTTTAAATCCTACATATATTTTCACGATATTTATTATAAAAAAGGTATAATTATTTCGGAGAAAAATATATTTCAGTTTTCCAACGCATTAGTCTTTTTTTTGCTGTGGCAAATTCCACCGAAATATTTGAAAAGTTAGGGAATAATCTAAGAAAAAATTAAAATAATAATTTTTAAGTAAGCAAAATTATGCCAAGTTAATATATTCTCAGGTTCTGATCCAGGAAAACCACCCTTAAAGTATGATCTTCCGTTTCCAAACATTTAATGTGAAGAGCTGTTTAAAGAAAATAATGCACATAATGCGAATTGGATTAAAAAAAAGGTAGTTATTCAATAAAACAATTCAATTGGTCAAAACGACTTTATTTTATATCTGTGCCAGACATTCTGTTACAAAACCCGTTTTTCTTTTATTCTAGTCCAGGGAACGAAGAGAAAAATAGGGTAAAACCTACGAATACTTTCGGACAGATCCGATTTTTATGAAAATTTGGAATAACTTAAGTTTATTTCACCCTGTATATGAAGTTATATATGCTTGATATGCGCTTCTTATATTTGGGGGATGAAAACGACCCCTTATGCTAAAAAATTGAATAAATATTAAAATAGGTGTTATATAAACCAAAATCATATCTTAATATGTATAATTGTATATAGAATATATATTGTTTTATATTGTGGGTTATAATATACGTTATTTTTATAAAGTCAAAAACCTTAATGATAAAATTATAAAATTAATAGATTCTTTGACCTTAAAATATTTTTAAAGCGCATATAGAAATCTTTTCAATAGTTTATGGTATTATAAATAATTTATTACAATATTTAAATCCTTAAAAAACTACCCCTAATAACAAATAATAATAGTTTTTAACAGTTTGAAATAATTTGATAGTACAAATAGGATAAATTAAATTCTTTTATCAGTTTATAATACAATTTATAATTTATCACATTAAATAATAAATTAATATAGTTTATGTAATATTCAAAATAATTATATCTCAATATTTTTTGCAGAAAGTCATAATTTCAAACTTTCAAATATATATATAATTTTATTATGTATACCTATGAATGCTCCAAAGTTGTGGATAACCAAAATATTGATATGCTCCGAATATTGAAGCGGTAAGGTACCGTTGGTTTTTTAACGATAACTTCCTTAATTTTGAAGCTATTAAGACGATCCAAAAACGATTTTACTGAAAATTTCGACAGCTAAAAATACTGTAAAATTGAATATTTTTTAACGCGTTATTTTTGAGATTTTTGAGGTTAAAAGGTTTGAAAAAGATGACCTTCATCCTCAACTGCAAACTTCTAGCAGCGGCATCTCTGTTAATTTTTGTCCTACACAGATAAATAAAAACATAATATTCTGAAAAAAAATATCTAAACTTTTGTACTCTCGAATATTTGTCGTATCTTTTTTTATTTTTAAAGTTATTTTCAAAAATATGTTATTTTTTGGAATTGAAATTTTTTTTTTTTCAATCAAAACGTAATATTTTCAAAAATATGCATTCTAAACCGCTTAAACTTGTATAATATATTATTAGCACATAAAAAATGTAAATTGTAGAAGGCTTAGGTACCTTTAATTTTAAATCTTGTGAAAAGTTTATAGTAGTTTTTATACTGATTTTTTTCTGAAGAAGCGTATTAATAGTTTTATTTTGATCATAACTTTGTTAATTTTTATGCTAATGACTTCAAGTCAAATTCATTTTAAAGATTTTTTAAAGTACTTTAAAAAATATTCTGTGCATTTTTCTTGAAAAATACATATTTTTTAGTTATTTTACGTTAAATGTTTTCAATTTAATTTCTGGCGGACATGAAATTATCTTCAACGAGCCGCATCTCAGTACCTATTGCACCTACATAAATGAACAAAAACTCATTCTTTGTCTTTTTCTATAAGCTTCATTTTCTTTGTGATATTTTTTTTTGGGAGAATGTCTATTTTCCGAGTTATTCGAGAAAAACTACTGAAAAACGTCTTTTTTTTTTTTAAATAAAAATGTACATTTTCTGTCACCAATAACTCAGAAAATATTGACTTATCGGAAAATGTTCATAAGGTACTTTTTGCTTAAAATTGATTGCTTTATCGATTCTTCCGGTCATTTTCAATATTTTATTTTTCACCCCCTAGGCGCTCATCGGCACTATATAACTTTTGTTTCTTGAGCTATTTTCTACTTACAGCCAAGTTTCTTGTCAATCGGTTCTATCCGAAAGAATTCGGAAGGGAAACCTTTGGTTCCCTGTACCATTCAAGGTGGATCGTATTCTCGATATTTCATTTCAAACCAAAAAGGCCTCATTTCAGTCAGGCTGGTGCAGACCTGCCATCGTTCTTGAAAATAATAGCCCTGTATACCAGCCAGTATGAGTGTATACTCATTTGTTGCACAACGTTTTGGACACGCCAGACTGCACCAGCCTCAGTGAAATTCGACTTTAACAATGTAGTTATCATAGCTCTATCCTCATTTTGTGCACACTCTTTTGAAAACGAAAACGCAGCACACAGTGATATATTTAAAATATTTATGCAGTGAAGACATAACAGACTATTTGTTTTAAATACTTTGCAACCAACATTTATATCTGTTTAATTTGTTTAACTTGTAACTTAGCTTAGATTCAAACAGATTCTTGTATTACTTTGCCACAAAACGTGCATATAGTTTTCAAATTCTATCAAACAAGCTCATTGTATATTATTGTTATATTTATATCACACAAACTCTGAAGAGGAATTGTGTTTGAACACGATAAAACTTGAAAAAATTCTCTTTAAATACCTGTGGTACGTGGTGCATCTAAAACTCTTTGAAAGTATACTATTCATGGTGTTTCATTAAAAACATCTATACTGATATCTCGAAAATAAAAAGAGATATCTGGGTTATGTAAAAACGTACATTTGTTTGTTTTACGTAGTGTTTTCTACAGATCTTAGAAATATTTTTCGGATTTCGAGATATCGGACTGGAGAGTTTTTACACCCTGTCTATAACTCTAATTTGCAGTAACTCCTTGTGTATTTTGTGGTGTATTTCTCAAAACTGCTAACTCCAGTGTCGCCAATATCTAGACTTTCCTAAACTGTAGAATAATGATCAGATAGGTCGCGAAAGTGGCGAACAAACCGCAAAGCAGCCTTTGGTTTACTTGAAAGAAGCCCCAAGCCGATATTTTCGGAGCGAGACCTTCTACGTATCTCGTTAGCAAAACCAGCTCATCTCTCAAAGGGCCCTTGTCCACTTGTCCCTGAAGTTTGTAGCAAGTTCTGACTATGTCCTGGCCACATCTTTCAACTCTGTCGCACGACATGACGATTCCAGCCAAACAGATCTGAAATAAAAAAAAAATTATAATAATCTTGGCGTCTCAGGGGGCTTTGCATTGGAGAAGGGTGGGCGAAAATTGGCTCATAAATTGATTTCAATGAGCTGTTTTCAAAGAAAAATAAAACTGGATAAGGACGAAACAGGTATGAGGTTATGATAGTCCTAAATGTAGGTAATGTTTAAAAAATAGCTGCTCCCTGCTATTTTCCCAAACCAAGAGAAATATATTCTAAGGTTTTAATCTAATAACGACAGTATAAAGATTAGCATGAGTGAGGATATAATTTCACCGTAAGTACCAAAAAGTGGTGACCACTAAGACTTAAAAAATAAAGAAAATATTCCAAGGAAACGGCAATACTTGAAGTAGCTTTTCGCGAGTTTTATGTCACCTTGCACGAATTTTGTGTCTTGAAAGAAATTATCCATTACTACCACAGTGTGCATGTTGCAAGTGAAAAACAACAAGCAAAAGCGAACTCTCAATAAAGAGAATGGTTAGTTAATCAAATAGCGAAGAATAATTAATGTTGATGGAAAAATGCGGTGCCAGCAATTGATTAAATAATTTAATAATATTTAAGTGTAATGCGTTTATGTCTACATTAATGCTGATAGAAAAATACATTTGCAGTAAAGTAATTGAATAGTTCAATAAACATTAAGTGTAATATTTTTTAAATAGACTCGAAATGGAAAAAACTTAAAAATAGTTGTTGACTGTACCTCTGTTTTCAATAACAAAAATAATCACGCACATTTTTAGATTTTCTTCGGTATTTTCAAGTCAAAGAAGGCAGATCTTGTAACTCTTAAGTCAATCGAGATCCTTCCTAATGGGGCTTGTCGAGAAATAGTCACATTGCAAGTTAAAACTAAGATTTAAAATGTAATAATACATATAAACAAATAGTATCAGTAGTTTATAAGTATTATCGAAGTGACTAATATTCATTTATGGGTGGATGACAATCCAGCCAATGTGTGTTCAGGAAATTAATTAACGAAGATCCTGAATAGATTAATAAGTATATTTACTTACACAATAAACTGAAGGATCCAGAAATGAGTCGATTAACTTCTTTGCAACTTGAAATTGTGGGTTATTTGTCTTCACAAGGAATAAACACCAGTTAAAGGTATTCAATAAATTTAACAGCAGAGTACATATTATAGAAAATATATGCGGTCCAAATTTAGCGTTCACTTTCTCTGTAAAATCGTTGAGTATTCCATATATCAGTCTAATTTCTTTAATCTTATTAGCGACATTTGTGCCTTCCGTCAAACTTTTAGAAAATATTCTTGTTACTTCGTTGTCTAAATAAATGTATCTTCTTCTAACAACGTTCATCAGTTCAATGGAGAAAATAACGACCACCATTATATAGAAATGTTGGGTTCTATGAAAAATGCTCCAATAGAAAAACAATCCCTTCCAGCAACATGCTGAGACTGTATAAAGTAATAGTAAAAAAGCGAAATATCCCACTACTTTTAACGTGTTGAGAATAAAGGAAAACTTTAGAGAAAAGTCTTTTCCCAGTTTGTTGTCCACTTCTGTTATGGCTTCGAAATTTACTCTCCAGGTGGCTCTATTTCTTATGGCTCCGATAGAAATCAGTAAAATTGAAAAACCTTTTGTAATATCTAGCAAGAAATCCATCACGATTAGAAGGACATCTTTGTCTTTGTAGATGTGGTTTAGCTTCTGAAAGTAAGTAGCAGTAGCTCCAATGAAAAATAACACATATATGAGAAAAGCAATGCATTTTGAAAGACGCTTTGATAGGGACTGATGTTCTTTTAGACATAATGGAAAAATCCCCAGATAACCGAAAAACTTGAAATAACTCCCAATAAACTTTGTATCATCTTTAATTTGCAAGTTACTATTCTCAACACTGTAGCGCATAATGATAAAGCACCAACTTCAGCAAGAGTAATAGTAATGTAATACTGACTTGTTTATAAATAGAAAAGCAGTATCGATCGATCGTAACTAGTAACTAAATGCAACATTTTGTTTGGAGTGACGAAACCTAGCAACATTTCTAGACTTTTAACGAAATCTAGAGAAGATATCGATCAAAGTTTCAAGCAAAGCAAATTGTACCTTATTTACCAAATTTACCGGCAGACCTGCAATTTGACGGAAAAAAAACGACTTGTAGGCTTGCAAAATTTATGCAATATTTACTTTTCACCAATCGATGAGACAGTTTACAATAGGAATCCAGATTCTATTGTCCTTTACTGCTTCATTAAGGATTATTAAATTTAAAAAAATTCTGAAGGATCTTGCAAGATCACCACGTTTAGTTAGTTATTATTTTGGAAGGTAAATGAAAGTAGCTCCAATGATGCTTGGTGCTTTCTCTGTTAGAAAAAATTTGAATTACTTCACATAATTTTAATATCACGAAAATCCAAAATCCTTGTTACAAGAAAAAAGCTTTAATCCAGATTTAATTTTGCTAAAGTTGATTATTATCGGCATTTAAAAAATCTTACGCTAAAATAAAGGAGAGTTGTAGTAACAACAGAAATACTAGAATAATGCTTATTTGTTGCCTGCAAATCGTATCTACTTACACAATTGATCAAGGGATCCAAAAATGAATCTGCAAACTCCTGTCTCGGATGAATTTCCAGATTATTCGTTTTAACATAAAAGAAAAACCAGTTGAAAGTGTTCAGCATATTCAGTAGCAGGGTTCCCAGTATGAAAAATATATACCGTCCAAATTTAACGTTGACCTTATCCATAATTTCATTGAGTATTCCATATATCACCTTAATTTCTTTTACTTCTTTATCGCATATTCTTTCGTCTATTACGCTGTTGTAAATGGAAAGTACGTTTGCTACTTTACTGTCTAAGTAAATGTATCTTCTTCTAATGCTACTCATCAGCTCGATGAGGAAAATAATGACCACCATTATGTAGAATTGTTGAATTCTGTGAAAAATCAGCCAGTGGAGGAATATTGCATCCTTAAAGCAATACATCGACAACGAATACAGTACAAGCAACACTGCAAAATATCCCAATATTTTGAAACTGTTTAAAGTAAAGTGAAACTGTGTAGGAAAACCGTTTGGACTGAATTTGCTGTCTACTTTTGTTAAAGCATGCAGTTTCCAGGTTCTGCTGTTCTTTATACCTCCGCTTAGAATAATTAAAATCGAAAGAAATTTCATAATTTCCACCAGGATATCCACCACGATCAGAGGTACGTCTTTGCCCTTGTAGACAGTGTCTATTCTCAGAAAATATACATAGCCAGCTCCAAGAGAAAATAATACAAATCTAATGAGAATGAGGCATTTCGAAAGATGTTCCAAAAAGAAAGACTGTTTCTTCATACATAACGGAAAAATCCCCAAATAACTGAAGAAATGGAAGTATCTTCTAATAAGTTCTATATCACTTCTTTCAACATTTTCTGTTTGCAAATAGTTATTATTTCTTACGTACAAGTACATGATGCGTATAAGCGGCTAGGAACCAACCCCAGCGAGAAACACTTGGTATTGGACTTTTCAAATCAACTAGAGTCACAATTGAAGCACAAATACTAATATATTGAGTATATAAATAGGAAAACACAATTTATTATACAACCAAAGTGCTGATCACTTAATGTATCTACTAACATTCAAATATGTCATTGGTGGACAATTTCGAGCGTTAGCAACATTTTTTTTTGAACACTCAATTTTTATTAAAGATAAATTCTGTATCACTTTTCAAAGCGCCTGTGCATAATTGATATAAGCAATACACTTCAAACAGAGCATATGCATTAAATTAGGTTATCGAAGTACAGTAATGCAACTACACTTACTGGTTGTGAATAGAGAAATACAAACGTAGCTGACAATATACATATTTAGGTTCAGGCTTTTAGTTTAATGAAAGTGGAAATGGATAAAATCCAATAATATTACTGCTAGAAAAGTATTTCGGATGAAATAAATCTTCATGGTATACAATTTCTATTGTAGGTACTAGAGTTACTGAAAATAATAATTACTATAATACTAAACTGTTGCTGCAAATATCCGTTTCTAGAAGACATAAAGAAGCAGTTCCAGACAAGAACAGACTAATGGCCAGAACAGTGGGACACTTTAAAAACAGATTGAATCGTGAGGATCGTTCTTTGAAACGTAATGGAAAAATTCCCAAATAACCGAAAAACTTGCAGTACCTCCTAATGAATTCTACATCACTTCTTACAGAGTCGTTGGTGTGCAAATAGTTGTTATTCTTCACTTGTAAGTGCATTATTTTACAGCTACAAGAAACTAATAAATATATAGGTCAACTGAATTGACGACTGCTGCACGAATACAAATACCAGCAATGCTGACAACTTCGTTATGATCAATTAATTAATTTAAGCAAATATTAATATTTGTTTGTAGTATACTGTCTCGGACAGAAACTTAATGAAGCAAACCAATTACAGAAAGGAAAGATATTTACATTACAAATATGGCTTATGTACTTTGTTATCCTCTAGCTAAATTTATTATTATCAATATTTCATTAAGGCTTGTCGGCTTAAATTTTGATAATTTGATATAACCTTTATCTCAGTATTAAATATCCTGATTGACGAGACGTCTACATTGACACTGTGAGCAAAATTTCATACTAAAAGTATTAAAGTACATTAGAATGACAATTTACAAAAATCTGAACAATAATGTTTAATTTTTTAAGTTGTATTTACTTACACAATAAACTAAGGGGTCCAAGAATGAATCAACAATTTGTCGAGTCAGATCAACGTCGGGATTTTCTGTTTTCATGTTATACAAAAACCAGTTAAAAGTATTCAACAAATTTATCAGCAGGGTACCCACTATAAAAAATATACGTGGTCCTAACTTAGCATTTACAGTCTCCATAACATCGTTAAGCATTCCGTATATCAGCATAAGATCTTTTAACTCATTTTCTGGGTTTCTGCTACCATTAAGTTTGGAAAATATTTTAGTTATTTCATTCACTAAATATGCGTATCTTCTTCTAACACTGCCCATCACTTCGATGGAGAAAATAATGACCACCATTATGCAAAATTGTACGACTCTGTGAAATATATGACTGGGGAATAATACATTTTCCTTCCAGAAACATATCGAAAAAGTGTACAGTAATAGTAAAAGGGTGATATATCCCATAACTTTTAAGACATTGATGATGAAACCAAACTGTACAGGAACATTTTTCGATCTCAACTTGTCGTCCACTTGTGTTAAAGCTTTGAAATATGATCTCCAGGTTTCCTTGTCTTTTACTGCTCCACAAAAAATAATTAAAATTGAAATATTTTTCATAACGTCTTGTATAAATTCCACAACTACTAATGGTATATCCTTGTTATTGTAAAAAGTATGCGTTTTCCGACTGTAGACATACATACATCCAGCCAAGAACATAATTACCAGCAGAATGACGGGAAGCTTCAGGAATGGGCTGAATCGTGATTGCTGCTTTTTGAGACTTAATGGAAAAATCCCCAAATAACTGAACACCTTGTAGTAATTTTTAATAAATTCTACGTCACTTCTTAAAGAGTTTTTGGGTTGCATATAGTTATTATTTTTCACTTCCATGATACAACTGCAAGATACCAACTTCGAATGGAAGCAATTGATCATGGAGTTCCAATTCAATTGAAATGTCGACTGTAATATGAACGGGGAACAAAAATAGAAAAATGTAATTACTTTGTTGCAATAAAGTAAAGTAGTAATAGAATGTAGCGCTTTGTTTGATAATTCAATTTAAACTTTTAGTTTAATGAAGAACTCGAATAAATCGATTAAGTTAACGCTAAAGAAATATTTGATATTTAAGAAATTATAAGTGAAAATGAAGTATTGTCATACACCAGTTGAAAAATTTGACATACTCACACAAATTAACAACCAACAACAGGAAATTATCCCGAACAAACACAATATCTATCGGTCGTTTAAGTCTAATGCATTTAGCATCTTGTAAAGAATATTTAAACCCCGGAAATTTCGTGAATTAGGGCGCATTGATGGACAGTACTCTGTCGATGGCCAAGAGCCAGTCTATCCTCCACCTGAAAAGTAACCACCGGAATCTGTTGGAGGCGCAGATGTTTGGGAAGCGCCCTCTATAGTAAACGTGACAATACTTAAAAACCACATGACATGTCTTTAGACACAGACAATATAGCTTAGCCTCAGACCGCTACTGGAGTAGGACAGCAGTTTTAAATTTCCGAATTGCCGATAGAGTACACCACCAGCAGAATTTTAGGAAGAATCAAATGCAGAGGCTGTATTCCTAGCAACATATAAACAACACTTTGGCAATGTTGCCAGGCGTACTTACGGATTTATTTTGTACACTATTGATAAAAATATTTTAAGGAATCAACGAATATCTATGTAGTTTCATATGATATTCTGCAGTGGTGGCAAAGTTAGATTATTTAATCATAATTTCGTTAATTAGCTACTATTTTCATTTTTTGGTATTGATATACTGCAGAAAATATATTTCCAAATAAACAAAATTCGTAATATTTTATTTATTTTAATATTTGATGATGATAAATTTATGTAATATATGGGCTATTAATACAAATGTACGACTTTTCCTTTACTTCTTTTGACATCAAAATTTGCTGGCATAAAATATATGTTTAAAGTAAAAAAATCATAAAAAATTAAAATTCATCCTTATTGAAATAACAAATAACGATTTTTATGACTAACCATGATTTATAATTTATAACAACATAAGGCGAATACCTAAAAACGAAAAAACATTAAAATACCTACAATTTTTACAAATTTTCAACAATCAAGTAATTGCGATGATACAGTTGACAATATGCTTCAATTTACCATTTATTGCTTTAAAAACAAATTCAAAATTATCAAACATTTCGTCTGTATTGTTTCTTTGAATACTTGTAAATTTTGAAATAATATATTTTGTTAAAGTGTCCCCACAAAAATATGTCTAAAGGACTGAGATCGGGTCTGTTTTCTGGCCACCTAAGGTTTGTAATAGTATTTTTTACAGTATTCGTTGACGAAATACTTTAAAGGAAGGTTAGTTTTTGTCATTTTTGTCTGATTGAATGCAATAGAGATAGGGTGACTTTGACCTCATAGAGGGCTTTTTTCTCTCTGTCTCTCTCTCTCTGCTGTCTGGGGCTTCCCCAGCATCTTCAGGACACCTAGAGAGGGAATGTGGGATAGAGCGCGTGGCCTTTTTACCCATCTCTCTTATATGAAAGAAAAAAAAACAGTATTTACTTGTACCTCGGAAATGACTCGAAATATCAAAAAATCTCCAATGGTTCTGATTGGTGATCGAGTGAGAAACATTCCGCAAAAAGTCCGCATGTCGAAAAAAAAAAAAAATCGGGACCAACGGTGTGTGACATAGAATAAAAAAGTATATATAACTCGGAAACGGTGCGTTGAATCGAAAAAATAATTTAAAAATCTCCCCACACCTCAGGCTGTGATTATCCGTTCTGCGTTGAATGGAAAAGGTTCAAAGTTCGTCTGTCGAAAAACAAAAAAGTAGTCATTAATTGCAACAGCAGTAGCGAACGCATTGTCTTATCTCTCATTGATTGATGATTTGTTGTTTTTTTTTAAATGAATTTCGTATCAACCACCCCTTGATGTTCCAACAATTTTATTAAATAAATAATTAATTAGGTAAATTCATAGTTTTAATTGTAACTTGATTTATTTGATTTGAAACAACTGAAATACTTGTTTAATGAGACTTGTCCAGTTACTTTACACTAAACAAAATTTGCAAATAGGATTAAGTTCAATAATTATTCAACTTTAATAAGTTATTGATTGTGTTCTGTAACGAATCTATCTATAAAAAATCAACTCCAACACGTTCAGAAACA